GGACAAAAGGGAGACCAGGGACCACCAGGAGTAATGGGATTGGTAAGTCATGTCAAACTTTTTACATTGAAAGTGAATATTACATGGTGGCCTGCTTTACTGCTGTGAGATATGGTATATGGTGAGATATGCAATACAGTCCTATGCAATACAGTCCTATGCAATACGGTCCAATGTAATACAATTCTATGCAATACAGTCTTATGCGATACGGTCCTATGCAATACAGTCCTATGCAATACAGTCCTATGCGATACGGTCCTATGCAATACAGTCCTATGCGATAATGTCCTATGCAATACGGTCCTATGCAATACAGTCCTATGCAATACAGTCCTATGCAATACGGTCCTATGCAATACAGTCCTATGCGTTAATGTCCTATGCGATACGGTCCTATGCAATACAGTTCTATGCAATACAGTCCTATGCGATACGGTCCTATGCAATACAGTCCTATGCGATAATGTCCTATGCGATACGGTCCTATGCGATAATGTATGCAATACAGTCCTAGGCGATAATGTCCTATGTGATACGGCCCTATGCAATACGGTCCTATGCAATACAGTCATATGCAATACAGTCCTATGCGATACGGCCCTATGCAATACAGTCCTATGCGATACGGTCCTATGCAATACAGTTCTATGCAATACGGTCCTGTGCAATACAGTCCTATGCGATAATGTCCTATGCAATACGGTCCTATGCAATACAGTTCTATGCAATACAGTCCTATGCAATACAGTCCTATGCAATACGGTCCTATGCAATACAGTCTTATGCGATAATGTCCTATGCGATACGGTCCTATGCAATACGGTCCTATGCAATACAGTTCTATGCAATACAGTCCTATGCAATACGGTCCTATGCAATACAGTCTTATGCGATAATGTCCTATGCGATACGGTCCTATGCAATACGGTCCTATGCAATACAGTTCTATGCAATACAGTCCTATGCGATACGGTCCTATGCAATACAGTCCTATGCGATACGGTCCTATGCAATAATGTTCTATGCAATACAGTTCTAGGCGATAATGTCCTATGCGATACGGCCCTATGCAATACGGTCCTATGCAATACAGTCCTATGCGATACGGTCCTATGCAATACAGTCCTATGCGATAATGTCCTATGCGATACGGTCCTATGCGATAATGTTCTATGCGATACAGTCCTATGCGATACGGCCCTATGCAATATGGGCCTTTGCGATATGGTAAAATGCGATATTGTCCTATGTGATATGGTCCTATGCAATACAGTCCTATTCGATATGGTCCTATGCGATACGATCCTATATGATATGGTCCTATGCAATAATGTCCTATGCAATATGCTATGCAATATGGTCCTATGTGATATGGTCCTATGCAATACAGTCCTATGTGATAATGTCCTATGCGATACGGTCCTATGCGATAATGTTCTATGCGATACAGTCCTATGCGATGCGGCCCTATGCGATACGGCCCTATGCAATATGGGCCTTTGCAATATGGTAAAATGCGATATTGTCCTATGTGATATGGTCCTATGCAATACAGTCCTATGCGATATGGTCCTAT